CTCTTCTTTCTTTCTTTCTTTCTTTCTTTCTTTCTTTCTTTCTTTCTTTCTTTCTTTCTTTCTTTCTTTCTTTCTTCTTTCTTTTTTGAGACAGGGTCTTCCTGTAGCCCCAGCTGTTCTGAAACTAGCTATGTAGACCAGGCTGATCTTAAACTCACAGAGATCTGCCTGCCTCTGCCTCCTGAGTGCTGGGATTAAAGACGTGCACCATCACGCCTGGCTTGTTTCTTTTTTAAAAAATATTTTATTTTTACCAGGCATGCTGGCACATGCTTTTAATCCCAGCACTTGGAAGGCAGATCTCTGTAAATTCGAGGCCAGCCTGGCTACATTGGGAGTTCCAGGACAGCTTGGGCTACAGGGAGACCCTGTATCAAAAAGACCAAAATGAGGGCTGGTGAGATGGCTCAGCAGTTAAGAGCACTGACTGCTCTTGCAGAAGACCTGGGTTTGATTCCCAGCACCCACATGGTGGCTACAAAGCATCCTTAACTCCAGTTCCAGGGGAATCCGAAGCCCTCTCCTGTCCTCCTCGGGCATTGCACAACACGGGTGCACTTACCTACACACAGGCAATACACGCATACACATAAAAATAATAAATAAAAAAATTTTGCCGGGTGTGGTGGCGCATGCCTTTAATCCCAGCACTCGGGAGGCAGAGGCAGGCAGATCTCTGTGAGTTCAAGGCCAGTCTGGTCTACATAGTAAGTTCCAGGACAGCTGGGGCTACAGGGAGACCCTGTCTCAAAAAGACCAAAAAAAAAAAATTTTTTTTAAAAAAGATTTATTGCCAGGTAAGGTGGCCCATGCCTTTAATCCCAGCACACCAGAGGCAGAGGCAGGCAGATCTCTGTGAGTTCTAGGCCAGCCTGGTCTCCATTGGTGAATTCAGGCCAGCTGGAGCTTCAGGGAGACCTTGTCTCAAAAAGACCAAAAAAAGATTGATTTTTTTTTTTTTTTTGTCTTTTTGAGACAGGGTCTCCTTGTAGCTAGCCCCAGCTGTCCTGGAACTCACTATGTAGACCAGGCTCGAACTCACAAAGATCCGCCTTCCTCTGCCTAAGGCATGCTCCACTATGCCTGGCATGATTTATTTTTACTAATATTTAATTATTATATGTAAGGGGGGGTGCACTTGAGTGCATGTACCTTTGGGGCAGAAGAGTACATTGGATCCACTACAGCTGGAGTTATAGGCAGTTATAAGCTGCCTGACATGGGTGTTGGGAACCAAACTTGGATCCTCTGTAAGAGCAGTGTGTACTCTGCTGAGCCATCTTTCTACCCTGATTTTAAGAGATTTTTTTTTTTTTTTGGTCTTTTTGATACAGGGTCTCCCTGTAGCCACAACTAGCTTGGAACTCACTATGTAGACCAGGCTGGCCTTGAGCTCACAGAGATCCATCTGCCTCTGCCTCCCAAGTGCTGGGATTAAAGGTGTACGCCACCATGTCTGGCTTATTATTTTTTAATAATGTGACTGCAGGGGACATATGTGCACCTGAGTGCATAGCTCTGTGTGTGTGTCTGTGTGTGTGTGTATGTGTGTGTGTGTGTGTCTGTGTGTGTGTAGTGTTGGAGATTAAGCCTAAGGCCTTGCACAATCTAGGACATATTCTACCAATTTATAGTGGTATGCTTTAAAGTTCACAATCAAGCTTGGCATGGTGGTACACGAATGCCCATAAGGAGGTAGAGAAAGGTCATCCCCAGCCTGGGGTAATGAGACCTTGTCTCCAAAACAAACAACGACAACAAAAACTCATAAAAATTTCCAGCCACACAAAATTTTGTATTCCCTAAATCTCCCCAGTGCAGGCCCATGCTATCTGTGGGGCCTCAGTGTTTTCCTCAGCCCTACACCAAGGTAGACAGCTGAGGATGGATTCAGTCCCTGGGCAGTGCACAGCCACGTGCTACAGCCTCCTTCCTTTGGTGCCCTTTCATATTTCTATGATTTATTAAAGTCTTTCCTATACAGTACTGGGGTTTTTTGTCTTTTTGAGACAGGGTCTCCCTGTAGTCCCAGCTGTCCTGGACCTCACTATGTAGACCAGGCTGGCCTTGAACTCACAGAGATCCACCTGCCTCTGCCTCCCAAGTGCTGGGATTAAAGGCGTGCACCACCACGCCCAGCAACACTGTTTTTTAAAAAAAATATTTTTATTTTGTATATGAGTGTACTGCCTGCATGAATGTGAGTGCATTGGTGTCATGCAGTGCCACAGAGGTCAGAAGAGGACTTTGGATTCCCCTGGAACTGGAGTTAAGGACGGTTTGTAGCCACCATGTGGGTGCTGGGAATCGAACCCAGGTCCTCTGCAAGAGCAGTCAGTGCCCTTAACTGCTAAGCTATCTCTCCAGCCCCACTGGTTTTTATTTTTATTCATGTGTAAGTGTATGTGTGAATGTCTGCCATGTGTATGTGGGTGTCTGAGGGGGCCAGAAGTGGGGTTGAATCCCTCTAGAGCTGCAGTTAGAGGGGGTTGTGAACTGCTCCATATGGGTACTGGGACCCAAACTCAGTTCCTTTGTAAAAGCAGCAAGTGCTTTTAACTTTGAAGCCATCTCTCCAGCACTATAATACTGGTTCTTTGTTTTTGTTTTTATCCTTTTGGGGTTTTTGTTTGTTTTGTTTTTTGAGAGAGGGTAGGCCTGGCTGACCTGGAACTCACTGTATAGACCAGGGTGTCCTTGAACTCACAGAGATCCATCTACCCCTGCCTCTGGTGTACTGGGATTAAAGACACTGCGTCACCACACCCAGCCGTTTAACATGCTATAAATGTTACTTGTTTTGTACAGTGCAAGCTTTTTTGTGTGTCTTAAGATGCAACTTTTTGTTATTTTTTTTTTTCTTCATTTTAGGATGAAACTTTCAGTTGCACTTAAAAATAACATGGATAACAAGGACACAGAAAGTAGGTATGACTTTTTTTTTTCTCCTGGCTTTGGAAAACGTCAGAATAAGGGAGGTGTGTGCAGTGACTTTAGAGTGGTTTTTTTTTTAGTGTGTGTGTGTGTGTGTGCGCCACTGTACAGGTGTGGAGGTCAGAAGACAGCTTGGGAGTAAGTTCTCTCCTACTATGTGGCTTCTAGGGATTGAATTTGGGTCATTAGGCTTGACAGCAAGCACCATTATCCACTGAACCAGCTTGATGGTCCCCTTAAAACAGTTTTGTGTTTAGGCTGGGCATAGTGGCACACACCTTTAATCCCAGCACTTGGGAGGCAGAGGCAAGTGGATCTTTGTGAGTTTGAGGCCAGCCTGGTCTACATAGTTCCAGGCCAGCTGGGGCTATAGGTTGACCCCGTCTCAAAAAGACAAAAAAAAAAACCCAAAAAACAGTTTAAGAAGCAAGGTGCGGGACAGATTCATCATGCTGATACCCATTGAAAACAGAAAGTTCAGATAGGCCAAGGTAGTTCTTAGAGCAATGTTTTGGAGTTTACAGCTGCTAAAAATGACATGAATGGGGATGTCATTATTTTGGACCTCTCCAGCACCTGGAGTGACCGTGCCTTGGATTCTTATATAAGCAAGCTGAAGCCCAATGTAAGCAGTAAAACAAATCACTCACTTAACCAGCCAGAAGCCACCACCTAACCTTTAGCTAGAGACTTTCACCTTTAACCAAAGAAATGTTTTCTTTGTCTGGCCTTAGTGAATATCTTATAAAAGATCCTTCCTTTGTCTTTTTGCCAGAGAAGAGCACTGAGCCACTTGAGCCTGGTGTCACCCAACTCATAGATCCCTCTCTGCTCAAATAAACATGTTGAATTGTTACTGTGGTTGGTTTTTCATTTTTTGTTTTGCTGTTGTGTTTTTTTGTTGTTTGTTGTTGTCTTTGAGACAAGATCTTGCTATATTGCCCAGCCTTGATCTAATGTCCATAGGCTAATCTCAAACTCGGACCTCCTGCCTTAGAGCCTCCTAAATGCTGGGATTACAGGCGTGTGCCACCATGCCTGGTTTTTATGTGGTTAGGGATTGAATCTAGGCCTTGGATCAAATTTGTGCATGCTAAGCAGGCACTGTACCCACGGAGCTACATTCCCCAGTCCAAGATTGATGATTTTTACTTGGGTTAAGAAGCCGTATTTTTGTTTTCTTCTCAGCGTGCTTACAGATGACATGAAGCACATATTAAAGCTGAATAAGTTGATAATGAAGTTACAGGAGGTAAGGTGGCACAGTGGCTGCTTATATGTTCTCGTGACATTGGTGATAACTTCTTGCTGGTAACTGTATTACACATGATTGAATAAGCTGTCCAAAGGGATGGTATGGTTGGAATTCACTCTCCTGTCATTCTTTTTTTTTTTAATATTTTATTTATTATTTTTATTTTATGTGTATGAATGTATTACTTGCATGTATGTAAGTGCTCTGTGTCATGCAATGCCCACGGAGGTCAGAAGAGGGTGTTAGATTCCAGTGGAACTGGAGTTACAGATGGTTGTTCGCCACCATGTGGGCACTGAGAATCAAAACTGGGTGCTAAGAGCACCAGAGCCATCTGTCTAGCCCCCATTCTTTATTTTTATCACAGCTCTTACATTTTACTACAATTGTAAATTATCAGCTTATAATTTAAGTGACTGTTTTCTTTTTGTTGAGTAGGAATAGGGGAATTGAAAATTGGAGCTTTAGGCAGGGCGTAGTTGCATACACCTGTAATCCCAGCATGTGGGAGATGGAGACAGAAGAATCAGGAGTTCAGTGTCCTTCTGCCTTCCCTAGTGAGTTTGATGCTAGCCTGGGTGCATGAGACCCTGTCTTAAAAAAACAAAGATAAGGGGCTGGAGAGATGACTCAGTAGTTAAGAGCACTGGCTGCTCTTACACAGGACCCAGGTTTAGTTCCCAACACTCATATAGCGGCTAACAACTGTCCGTAACTCCAGTTCCAGGGGATCTGATGCCCTCTTCTAACTTCCACAGACATTGCACAACACAGATGTATTTACATACATGCAGGCAATATACTCATACACGTAAAAATAATAAAATATTTTTTACTTTTTTTTTTTTTGTCTTTTTGAGACAGGGTCTCCCTGTAGCTTCAGCAAGCCTGGAACTCACTATGTAGATCAGGCTGGCCTCAAACTCACTGAAATCTGCCTGTCTCTGCCTCTCAAGTGCTGGGATTAAAGGCATATGCCACCATACCCGCCTCATGAAATATTTTTTTGAAAAAACAAAAAACAGAGCCAGGGTGTGATGGTGCACACCTTTAATTCCAAACTCAAGAGGCAGAGGCCAGCCTGGTCTACATGTGAGTTCCAGGTCAGCTGGGGCTACAAGGAGACCCTGTCTCAAAAAGACCAAAAAAGGTAAGGTGGCACATGCCTTTAATCCCAGCACTGGGGAGGCAAGCCTAGTCTATATAGTGAGTTCAAAGGCAGCTAGAGCTATGTAGACCCTTCCTCAAAATAAAAATAAAAGATAAAGGAATTGGAGATTTAGAAAATATGAATATGTGAAACTCTGTGATGTGTTGTAGATTCATTATTCAGTAATATGATTTAGTCTTTTTATTTTAATAACAGGAATCTTGGGAATTAGAGAAAAAGCTGCTTGATGTAAGAAAGAAGAGACTGCGTATGTAGAGTACTTTACCAAACATTTTTTACAGTTTGTGTGTGTGTGTGTGTGTGTGTGTGTGTGTGTGTGTGTGTGTGTGTGCGTGTGTCTGTGGGAGACACGCCCCTATCTCTACTCAACCCTCTCACCCGCTTTTTTTTTTTATTTTCAGATAAGTGCCCTTATCTACTGAACCATCTCACTGGCCTTTATTTTTTATTTTACTTTAATTTGGGGGGTAGACACATTTGTATCGACTTTGGAGATTGTCTTGTTTTTGCTTCTCTGTTGGTAAGATAAAACACTGACCAAAAAAGATTCTGGGAGGAAGTGTTTATTTCATCTTATAAATTACAGTCCATCATTGAGGGAAGCCAAAGCAGGAAGGAAGCAGAGACCACAGAGGAATGCTGCTTCCTGGCTGCTTCCTGGCTTCCTCAGCTACCTTTCTCACACAGCCAAGGCCCACCTGCCTAGGGAAGGAGCCACCACAGTGGGCTGGACCCTCCCACAGCAACTGGTAATTAAGAAAATGGCTCACAGGTATGTCCACAGGCCAATCTGATTGCAGCAGTTTTTCAGTTGAGGTTTCCTCTTCCCAGCTGTCCACAGTTTGTGTCAAGTTGAGTTTGTACTTGGCAATTTAAGAAATAGAATGCAAAATAGATTTTTCAGTATTTATTTTTAGAACTGTAAATCATGGCCAGGTATGGTGGCACAGGGCAGTCATCGCAGCACTCCAGAGGCAGAGGCAGGCGGATTAGGAATTCAGTTCATTCTCTGTCTAGTGAGTTGAGGGCCAGTCTAGGCTATGTAGCATGCAGCACACTAGATAGGAATTCATAGCAAGACCCTGTCTCAAAAAAAGATTATTACATGAGATTACTTTGTTTTGAGCCAGGGTCTCACTATATATTCCAGGCTGGCCTGGAACTTGCTATATATAGACCAGGCTGGCCTTGAGCTCAGAGATCAATAGGCCGACCTCTGCCTCTACCTCCTAAGTGCTGGAACTAAATTTCTGTGCCACCACACCCAGTCTGAGATTACTTTTTGTTTGAAACTATTGGAATGTTTATTTCATAGATATATACATTGTCTGTAAAAAATAAATAAAAGATAAAAATAAATTTAGAAACTGGACTTAGTGGTTAAGAGCATATACTGCTCATCTTTTTAGAATTTTTAGAAACGGGAAAAATAGACCTAGGAAAAACTAAATTTTAACCTTTGCAGTCATTAGAATCTCTGTTGCTTTCTGGTTCCAGCTTGCCACAAAAGGCCTATCATGAGGTGAGCAGTTCTGCTCTGCCTCAAGAGTCTGTCTTTCCTCAGGTACAAACCTCTGAAGCAGTCACTACATTTAGGGCAGGGATTTTTGTGTTCAATAGTTCAAAGACCCCAGGCTGACTCCAGATTGTGACTAAAGGTGTCTCATTGGTTACAGATTGGATTCTTCATAAATTTACCAAATCAAGGATTCCAGATAAAATGTTTCACCTACAGATCGTGAAAAATGCTGGAGATCCACACTGCCCTCATGAAAGAAAAGTAGAAAAGAGCAGCAACATGGGAAAACATAATGATAGGGATGCTTGGACTGTAAAAAGTAAACATCCCCCAAATTCACAGTGTCCCTTCAGTGAATGAAAAACTGAAAGTGGCTAAGTGTTTAATAAGAATCAAGCCTCACTGGAGAAGTGGCTCAGGAGTTAGGAGCACTGGCTGCTCTTGTAGAGGACCCAGGTTGAGTCCCAGTACCCACATGGTAGCTAACAATCATTGTAAATCCAGTTCCAGGGGTATCTGACACCCTCTTCTGGCTTCCACAAGCACTGCATGCATGAGGTACCCTTACATGCAAACACTCATACACATAAAAATTAATTAATTAAAAAAAACATAATAAGCAAGCCGGGCGTGGTGATGCACACCTTTAGTCACAGCACTTGTGAGGCAGAGGCAGGTGGATCTTTGTGAGTTCAAGGCCAGCCTGATCTACATAGTGAGTTCCAGGCCAGCTGGTGCTACAGTGAGACCCTGTCTCAAAAAAGACAAATATATATATATATATATGAACAATAATAAGCCCCAGGGCCTGGAGCTGTAGCTCAGTTGATAGAGGGTTGCCTAATAAGCACCAAACCCTGGGTTCCATCCCAGCACCACATAAAGCCTGATGCGAAGGCTAGCTTTCAGAAAGTGAAGGAAGGAGAATCAGAAGTTCATGGTCATCCTCAACTGCATAGAGAGTTTGAGGCCATCCCAGGGTACGTGAAACCCTATCTCAAAATAAAATTAAAAAATTGTTTTATTTTTTAAGACTAAGAACAAAGACGAGCGTATTGCCTGCATGTAAGTAGGTATACCCTTGTCATGCAGTACCCAAGAAGAGGGTGTTGGGTCCCCTGGAACTTGAATTATAGATGTTTGTTAACCGCCATGTGGGTGCTGGGAATTGAACCCAGCCCTCTGCTTAGCTCTTAACTGCTGAACCATGTCTCCAGACCCAAGTGTGTCTTTATTTTCTTCTGTGTTGCAAACTGTTTTCAGTTAAAAAGACAGGCAGAGTTTATTGATATTATAAATAAATTCAGACTAGGTAAATTGATATTATAAATAAATAAATTAAAGGCACATGCCTTTAATACCAGTACTCTAGAGGCAGAGGCAGACAGATCTCTGTCAGTTTGAGGCCAGCCTGACCTACATAGCAAGTTCCAGGCCAGCCAGGGCTACGTAGTGAGGCACTATCTCAAAAAAGAAAGTTATATTTAATACAGTTTTTATTTATTTTTTTCTTTTTAAGACAGCTCCCTGTAGTTCCAGCTGGCCTGGAACTCTGATGTAGACCAGGCTGGCCTCAAACTCACAAAGATCCTCCTGCCTCTGCCTCCCAAGTTCTGGGATTAAAGGTGTGTACCACCACGCCCACCTCATTATTTTATTTTTAACCTAACAGAATTAAAACAAGCCTCAGGAAGCAAACTTTCACAACTACAAATGGAGAAGAACAAACAGAAAGAAGATTTGGAAAGTATGAAAGATTCAGACATGATAAAGACCATGCAAAAAAATCTACAGAAGGAAATAGAGATTGCTACAGTTGTTCAGCATGTGTTCCAGGTACCATTTATATAGATTAAGAAGGGAGATAGCCAGGCATGGTGATGCAGACCTGTAATCCCAACACTTTGGAAAAAAACAGGAGGATCAGGAGTTCAAGGCTAGCCTGAGCTACATGAAAAACCAGAAACAAGTAAAAGACTATGCCTTAAACGAACCTTTTTTTTTTTTTTTTTTTTTTTTTTTTTTTTTTTTGGTCTTTTTTTTGAGACAAGGTCTCCCTGTAGTCCCAGCTGGCCTGGAAATGCTGTGTGGACCAGGCTGGCCTCGATCTTACAGAGATCCACTTGCCTCTGCCTTGAGTGCTGGGATTAAAGGTGTGCACCACCATGCCCAGCCTTTTTAATATTTTTTATACATAAGTTTAACATTTATTCTCTAAAATCTATTGAAATTTTATTCCAATCAAGAATTTATTATCATTGAGCCATTGTTTCTCAAAGGATAATGACTAGAATTTTTGTTAATTATGACCCTAATCATTCCTCATGTCTGCCACAAAAAGTTTTTCACATTTTTTTAGAGACCTGAAATTTTTCAAGGGCTGAACTAAGCCCTTTTATCTCTTTTGAAAATAAAGCATATTATATATGGGTAAGGTACTGTTTCACTGGAGGAAGCTGCAAGTGTAAAAGAGCAATGCAGAGTTAGCTCTGAACCTGGCAGCAGCACTGTCCCTGGCACCTATGGTCAGTCTTACTGCAAGTATTATAAGTAGAAGCTGTCCAGGAAAACCTAAGAGGTATAAGAAATGATGGTAAACCCTACAAGTATCATTCAGCACTTTGGGAATCAAGACTGACTCCCTGGGGCTGGAGAGATGGCTCAGCGGTTAAGAACACTGTTCTTGCAAAAGACCTAGGTTCGATTCCCAGCACCTATATGGCAGTTAACAACTGTCTGTAACTCCAGTTCCAGGGGATCCGACAGCCTCTTCTGTCCTCCGTGGGCATTGCACAACATGGGTGCACTTACCTACATGCAGGCAATATAACACATACACATAAAATAAAAATAATAAATAAAATACTTAAAAAGACTGACTCCCTGTTCAAAGTGGGAATGGAGATAATAGTGCTACATGCCTAGTAGATGTTCAATAAACATTAGATAAGAGCAGTGAAAGAGTCTTGGCGATAGTGCTCAGTTGGTAGAGTATTTACTCGGCAGGTACAAAGCCCTGGGTTTGATTCCAGCATCATATAAACTGGGCGTATAGGCTGATACCTGTAATCCCAGCCCTCTGGTGGAGGCAGGAGGATCAGAAGTTCAGTGTCACCCTCATGTACATAGCGAATTTAGTGCCAGCCTGGGGTACATGCAACCCTATCTGGGGGGGAGGGGAGGGGGATGGGGAAGATGAGTGAAAGGATTTGTTAAAAGTTTTAAAAATACTTACAATTTCTTTTTTTGAATTGCAGGCCCTCATTTTGGGGAGTAAAACCAACTGGGCAGAGGATTCTGCTTTCAAGGAAATTGTGCTACAGCTTGAGAAAAACCTTACCACAATCTAACAAGAACCCTAGTTTGGCATTTTAACATTGTTTGTGCTTGGTCTGACATTTAAAGAGCAAATTTCAAGGGAAATGTATTCGTGTCTTTGGAGCCATTCTAGTGCTGTAATTTCTGTGGCTTGAATTGACAAGGTGTTATGGAATCTTTTGTTTTAAATATCATTAAAGTGACTGGCCTACTCTGAAAGAGTCTGAAAATCTTGGCCTTAGAAAACAGGGATCTGGTCCAGCTTCCATAGAATGTGGCCTTTTAGCACTTTCTTGGCAGTTCCACTAATTGTTTGGAATACTGTGCAGCTGTGCATTGGTTTGTCAACCAAAACATTCAAAAACTATATCCAAAGTATTAAGGGGTGTTAGAAATGCATCATGGAGTTCCCAAGAAAACACAGAATCTAAAGCATTTCAGCAAGGCAGTGTTTTCCTTGGGCAGAAGGGTGTCAGGCTGCTCTGAATCCTGCAAGCACAGCTTGTTAAGATGGCCTCTCCCTTTTATACCTAGTGGAAAAGAGCTTGGCCATCCTTCCTTAGTCAAGGTTCAACTTCACAATCTAAACCTGACTGGCCAATTAAAAAGGGAAGGAGGCACTTTAGTAAGATTTTTTTTTTTTTTTTTTTGGTCTTTTTGAGACAGTCTCCCTGTAGCCCCATCTGGCCTGAACTCACTATGTAGACCAGGCTGGTCTTGGAGTCACAGAGATCAGCCTGTTTTTGCCTCCCAAGTGCTGGGATTAAATGTGGGTGTCACCACGCCTGGCCATAAGGTTTTTTTTGTTTTTTTTTTTTAATGTGTATGAGCGTTTTGCCTGCATGTAAATGCACCCATGTGTACAATGCCCACAGAGGCCATAAGAGGGCGTCAGTTCCCCTGGAACTGGAGTTAGCTGTCATGTGGGTGCTGGGAACTGAATCCAGGTCCTAGGCTTTCCCTTTTTGGTTCAAAGCATGATCTTAAAGATATGTTCAACGTAATGGATGTAATCCAGGGTTCCTACACCATATTGGCACATGTTGGTGGCCCTTTGTGCCCTAAATCTATGCCCACAGGGTACAAATTAAAAGCTGCAGAGTGGTAGGGCGTGGTGACACATGCCTTTAGTCCCAGCACTTGGGTGGCAGAGGCAGGCAGATCTCTGTGAGTTCAAGGTCAGCGTGGTCTACATAGTGAGTTCCAGGCCAGCTGGGGCTACAGGGAGATCCTATCTCAAAAAGACCAAAAAAAAAAAAAAAAAAGGCTACAGAGTGAAAATTGGTTTGGATCCCTTTCATTTGTTTGGCTTTTCTGTTTCTTTGGTTTTTTGTTGTTTTTTTTTACTCTACATGTATTCCTGTGAATAAATCCTTGTTAAGTTAATCCTTCAAAAAAAAAAGGAGGGCTTACTGTTTGAATCTGATACGAACCCCACAGGCTCATGGTGGACTCTGTCTGTAGCTTGTGGTACTATTTTGAAAGCTGAGATGCCTTTGAAAGATGGGGCCTGTCTGTGGCTGTAACATGCATAAGGTCCCATGGTTGGATCTCCAGCACTAGGGAGAAAAAAAGAAAAGTGGGACCTGGCTGGCAGAAGTAGCCATTAGGGTGGGAACTCACTGTGTAGACCAGGCTGGCCTTGAACTCACAGAGATCCACCTGCCTCTGCCTCCCGAGTGCTGGGATTAAATTACATTATTTGAGTATTGCTGGGGCTGGAGATTCTGTCTCAAAAACAAAACGAAGTAAAGCAAAACAAACTGAGCCAATGCAAAACATAGCTCTTGCTCCAAAGGAAATAAGAAATAGCTTAATCTGAGCCAAATATGAGTGACCATGGCCAGAGAACACTGCACTCACATTGCCCCAATGCCATGCTCCACTGAGGAAGTGGTTACATGAACTTTTTATAGTCACAGAGCAAAAGAAGTCATATCACTAGGCACTGATTATCATTGATGCGGACATTAGGTAGCTCACAGTTAAGTGGGGAAATCTCCACTACAGTCTCGGATGCTGTTGGGTTTTGAGTGTGAAATGTTCCCCACAAGTTCATGTGTTTAGACACTTGATCTCCAACTGGTGGTGCTGTTTTGGAAGGTTGTGGAACTTCTAGGAGGTGGAACTTCAGTGGAGGAGCTGAATCACTGGGGACCAGCCTTGAGATTTTATAGTCTATCCCCATTTCCTGTTGATTTTCTGCTTCTTAGCTGCAGGTGCAAAGTGACCAACTGCCTCACACTTCTGGTTGCCATGTTCCCCCCCAAGAGGAACTGTATTCTCTCAAACTATGAGCCAGAATGAACCTTCCTCCTTTAAGTTGCTTCTTGACAGGTATTTGGTAACAACAATGAGAAAAAGAATTAATACAGATGTTATACAATGACATTCTTAGCTTTGGAGTTGGTGGTAGCTAGTAGTCTGATAATAACTTAATTAGTACACTCTAAATATAATACTTAAAAAGATGTTATTTCAGGGCCGGAGGGATGGCTCAGTGGTTAAGAGCACTGGCTGCTCTTGCAGAGGACCCAGGTTTGATTCCCAGCACCGACATGGTGGCTATGAACCGTCCTTAATGCCAGTTCCAGGGAAATCCAAAGCCCTCTTCTGACTTCCATGGCACTGCATGACACAGGTGCACTCACATACATGCAGGCAATACATGCATACACATAAAATAAAAATATTTTAAAATTAAAATAATAACACTTGGGAGGCAGAGGCAGGCAGATCTTTGTGAGTTTGAGGCCAGCCTGGTGTACATAGTGAGTTCCAGTACAGCTGGGGCTACAGAGAGACCCTGTCTCAAAAAGACAAAAAATAATAAACAATTGGAAGGCAGAGGCAGGTAGATCTCTGTGAGTTCCGGGCCAGCCTGGTCTACCCAGTGAGTTCCAGGACAGCTGGGACTACTGGGAGACCCTGTCTCAAAAAAAGACAAAAGAATAATAATAAAATAAAATGAAAATGTTCTTCTAGATACAGAAGTGGTAAAGGGGACTAAAGATAGCCTGAGATAATTTTGGCTGTTGATCTATAACATTCCAATTCGCCACAAATCTTGGAAGTTCTGGTCTGAATCCTGGAATCAGGCTGCAGATTCTTGAACATGGTGGCTTTTGCAGAAAACTTCAATTCATGCATAAGATGGAACATGCAGGTGGATGCCTCTAAGGGTTTAAAGTTTTGACTTCTCAGACCACTGAACTCTCCAAGCCTGAGGAAGTATCACCCCTTTTAAAAGCCAGTGCCCTTCCTCCTCCACCCTTCGTTTTGGCACACAACCTGCTAGAGGCCGCCTAATCTGATACCTCATCCTACCCTTTGGCCACGCTGATTTGATAATTAGGCTTCACTTGCATCATGACCTCTATAGACAGGATGCTATTAGGAGCAGTAAGGGTTAGCCAGCATGTAGGGACAGGAGCTGGAGGTGACTATGGGACTAGATTTGGGGGACACTTTACTCAAAGGAGCTATGACATAAGATCGGACTGAAAGGAAATAATTTGTGTGGGCATCTGCCTTGGAATATAAGAGTTTACACTTTGCCAAAGAACCCCAAGGTTTGGTGCAAACTCACTGCTATAGTTTCTTCTAGAAGCCCAAAGAAAGTCTCCAACACAACAAAACTGAAAAACCTGGATTGCCGTAGCAAATGTGGAGGAAGGGATTGAAAAAATCTCAAAAAGGGCTAGGAATGCAACTAGGTTGGTAGAACGCCTGCCTAGCATGCACAAGATGAGGCCCTCGGTTCAAAGCCCAGCACATTATAGGGTATGGTGGTACATTCCAATAGTCCCAGCACTGGAGAAATGGAGGCAAGAGGGTCAGAAGTTCGAGTCCAACCTTAGCTTCACAGCAAGTTTGAAGCCAACATAGGCTGCACGAAACCCTGCCGCTGCCCCCGCCCCCCGAAATAAGAAGCTGGAGGAAATGGGTCTGCTGGAGTGGACATGTTTTCTGATACAAGAAAATGCAACAAAAAAGAAGGGAAAGAAAGCTGAATGTAATCCCAATACTTGAAAGACTGACGCAGGAGGATCCCAAGTTAAAGGTCAGTCTAAGCTACATAGCAAGACCCTGGAAAGAAAGAGGGAGAGAGGGAGAGGGGGAGAGAGAGAGAGAGAGAGAGAGAGAGAGAGAAGGAAGGAAGGGAGGAAGAGGAAGGGAGAGAAGGGAGAAAGGAAGGAAGGAAGGAGGGAGGGAGAGGGAAGGAGGGAGGGAGGGAGAAAGTGCAAAAAGACACAAAGAGACATTTCAACAAAAAATAAGCAAACAAGCACAAGAGATAATACAGCACCAAAGAAGCACAGGAAAGATGTGCTTTCAGAACTAGGTAGGAGGGCAGTGCCCCAGGGACTCCAGATGCAGCTGACACTGGATTCTAGGCCTGGGCTCTTCCTGAAGCCTGGAGGGACATGAGCCACAGCTTCAGACAGAACATTGGATAGGACCAGTTTGCCTAGCGGCTCCTTGCCTCATACGCTACCTCTGACCTGGTCTGGCCTAGTCACTGCTGACTCTGGCTCTGCTCGCCACAGGGATGACTGTGACAAGAAGGTGAAGTAAGTGGTCAAATTGATGCTCAAAGGCAGCCCTGCAAGCTTCAATATCACATTTACCAGCAGGGATAGAGAAAGGTCCACCTGCCTAGGTGTTTAACCAAATTTGACACTAAGGTCTCTGAAACAAAGGGCTTAGTGAACTATGTAGACACCAACCAGAAAATGAGGAACCAGTCCTAGGACACATTCCCACAGCAGCGTGATCAGACAGTACTTGTGAAAATGTCCATTACCTAAGGAGCTACAGTTGTCTAACATTTTGTGAGGAGGAGACATAAAATAGTTACATTAGCCCTTGGGGCTGGAGAGATGGCTCAGCAGTTAAGAACCCTAGACGTTCTTGCAGAAGACCCAGGTTCGAATCCCAGCACCCACATGGCAGCTAACAACTGTCTGTAACTCCAGTTCCAGGGGATCCGACATCCTCTTTTGTCCTCCATGGGCATTGCATGACACGGGTGCACTTACCTACATGCAGGCAATACACGCATACACATAAAATAAAAATAATAAATAAAATAAATAAATAGTTACATTAGCCCAACATTGGCTGTACACGAGACAGACAGAACCATGAGAATGGGACAAAGTCCTGGAATAGCTTAGTCCCTGAAGAGAGGTTTTCTACTTCTTAGTTGGTTGATT